CATCCTTAAAATATTAAATCTCTCAATAAATGAACATGATGTAGGTCTTAATTTCTTTGAATACTGCTTTGCAGTATTGGGGATAGAGGTCTTAGACACAATAAGATTTATTGCTAGGATTTCAATGTGGTTTTATTTTTTGTTTTTTGTGTTTTTTTGATGCTACACTAAATAATATGCTTTACTAATATCATTTCCTAATTGCTATTGATATATGAACAGCTGCATTTGATTTTGTGGACTGCCCTTGTAACCAGTGAACTTTCTTAAAATTCACTTAATCACGTTGATAGCTCATCTATAGTAACTTGTGGATTTTCTGCAATACAAACGTGTCACTGATAGTTTTACTTTTTGTTTCTTTGTTTCTTATCCTTACAAATTTTAATTCTTTTTCTTCCCATTTCTGTGGCTAGGACATAATGTTGAATAGAAATGGCAATAGTAGCCATTTCCTTCTCACTCCCAACGTCAGCAGGAAAGCTTTATTAAAATTAAATATCCCACTTAACTCTAATGTTTGCAGTAGTGCTTTTTTAAAAAAAGAAATCATGATCATGTCTGAAAGCATATCATATGGAACTTGTGATTTTTTGTTCTCATTCTAAGCAAATTATCACTTTTAATTTTATTATGTATTCATCATTTTGAAATTTTTTATAGGCCTTCCTCTCACATTTGGTAAACTTAAAAGCCCGCAAAACTCAGCCCTTCCACTGCTGGTGGCCGGGCTCTCACTGTCTTCCTGCTACACCGTGTTTCATCATCTTTCATCCCTATGCTTTTGCCTCTTGGTGGCAAGACGGCTTCTTGCTCCTCCTTGAGGCCTAATATCTTCAGTTCCAGAAGGAAGAAGGAAAAAGGGCAAAATGTCTTCCTAGAAAGCTTTGTCTTCTTCTTTTGGAAAGAAATCCCTTACCAATTAGCATGCTTCTGCAATGTTTCCCAAAAACAGAATGGGAAGTTTTTGCAAAAATCTCTGATTACTTAGTGACTCACCATATGTCCATAGGGTTTGAAATTACCTTGTGCTGTTATTTGTCATTCTGTCATTGTTTTCTGTATATATTTATTCACCCTAATAAAATGACACCCACTTGAATTTTAAGGCCTACAACTTAGTTCATCACCACCTTCCTTACATACACACACCAAGACACATATCCTCTAGAACAAAGGACAGAAACAAGAAAAAAGTTGCTCAATAAACATCCATTGGACGAAGTGAGAGAGTGACATGGACATATATACACTACCAAATGTAAAATAGATAGCTAGTGGGAAGCAGCCACATAGCACAGGGGGATCAGCTCAGTGCTTTGTGTCCACCTAGAGGGGTGGGATAGGGAGGGTGGGAGGGAGATGCAAGAGGGAGGAGATATGGGGACATATGTATATGTATAGCTGATTCACTTTGTGATACAGCAGCAACTGACACAATATTGTAAAGCAATTATACTCCAATAAAGATGTTAAAAAATAAACTAAACTAATAAGTAAATAAATGAACACCCATTGTAGAACCTTTGAAAATCTCACAATTGGAGGACTCAGTTCTTCCCTTTCTATAAAATGCCCTGTTTTATTTCCTTTATTATTATTGTTTTTGCTGATGTGTATTCTTTATGAAATTTTTTTCAGTATTTTACATGCAAAAGAGAAAAGAAATCAGAGTACAAAAGGGGCAAAAATGAAAGGCAAATGCATTGTTCTTTGCTTTTCTTCCTGCTTCCAACGCTACACAGACAACCACTTCTCAGCAGTTCTGATAAGATGTGTTTGCCAATTTTATCTGAATTTATTAAGCTTAAAATATATTTTAACTCCATGCTATAAAATATGAAGAATTCCTCTCCTTCCCTTTATGTTTTTTCCCAATTTTTGTGGTTTTTCTATGTACTTATTTTTAAAGTTCCCATAAATATCAGTTATATTGAGAATTATAAATAATATATTAAACCATTTCTAATTCCATAAACCTAGACTCCTCACAGTATTAAATAAGACAATGAACGATCCTAGACTTCCCACTACCGGTTTTCCTGCTGTTTCTCTCCTCTACTTCCGTCTGCTGTGCCTTTACTTCTACCCTATCCTGAGGGAGGACAAATGCTCAGAATAATAACTGACTTCCCTAGGCCTCATGGACTTGAACAACAGAGGTCAGGAGAGGTCACAGAGCACTCCAATACTCACTTTCTCTGATTTTCTTTCCTCCACCAAGAAGTGTCAAGAGAGAACCCTAGACTAAAATGCCATCATTCCCAGCAGGCGATAAGAGTGAGCCCAAGACACTGGGTCCAAAATCATGTCTCTCTGGGCCTACCCTGCTCCACTGAGGGTATTCAAGTGGGTGAACTGTGCACAGAGTTAAGACTCAGCTTTCTCTGATCAACTTAAACCCATCAATAGAGGTCAAGAAAGACCCACAGGTACTCAAGTAAGATTTTGATTCTCCAGTTTGCCTCCATGACAAGGGGTCATGAGGAAGCCCAGTCATGACCCCTCCTAATTTTGACACTCACAGTCTCACCAACACTATCTGTCTTGAAATCTATCAGGACTAACCTCATTACGTCAGTTACCTAAAAAGTCCCGGAATTCCAGATGATCTCTCATTCCCCTTCTTCTAATTTTCATTCTCTAATTTCCATATACCTCTAATTATCAACTTTTTCTCTCAGACTCCAATTTTGAAATCTGCCCCCTTTCAGTTTGTCCCCTGGAACTCAGAGTCCCTCATCTCCAAAACTGTCCATATTCTCAAACTCATAAACCAGCATTCTCTTCACGGCTGCAGCCTCACCAAAATCTGGGTTTCTCCTGAGGACAATGCTTCCCCCAAAAGCATCTCATGTGGTAACTGTTGACTTTTTCTCACAACTCTCTGGATATAGGGTGAGTTCTTGCTCCTCTTTTAGCTTCCAGAGCATTCTCCCCATTTCCTCCCTTCCCAAATAAAGCAGCTCCAAGTTTCATGTCATCTGACCCTAACACAGAACTGTCCCTCATCTGCCACACGTCCCCTGAGTTGGAACTCCTCACTTCCAATGGTTTTAGCTCCTCTCTCCAGTGTCAACACTGTTCCTGTCTTGAATCACAGTCTTGATGAAGTCTCAGACTTCGTGAGCAGAGAACTGAACTCTTAAATCTTCCCCCCCAAACCTGTTCTACCCAGTCCTCTCTGTTGCTTTCTCCTTAAATGATGCATCCAATTCTCAGGAAATCATATTGGTCTGCAAAGTATACATAGACAGTCCCTCAGCTAACTGGCCTATTTCCTGTCTAGCTTGTGGTCTATTTTCTGTCTAACTTGTATTCTTTGAACTTTCAACTCAGAGGTTCCTACCTACATCCCAGGCTCCTTCTAAGTGCATCCTGAATGACAGCTCCTGCCACCCTGTTCTATCCCTGGAGACACTCCCATTCCCTTCATATGACACATAAATAATCAGAGTATATTGACACCCACTTCTCCAATCCTCCCTCTCCACATCTTCCTCACCCTTAAGGGAGTTCTATCATTGCATCTATATTGACTGTCCTTTCAGCGGGAGGGAGAATAAGTAGATAAACATGGCTGTTCATTCTATTCTCTTGAACCAGAAACTCCATATCACCCATAAGGCCTCTTGTGTCTCTAAAATCCTTTCATACTTTTATTGTATCCCTAAGCTACAAAATAATAATAAGGGTAGATCTAGTTTTAAATGTACATCTTGAATTTTCTTAACCTCAGTTCCATAACAGAAGCTACTTTTTAAACACTTCATTCTCTAAGAAGACATAAAGAAAATTTGTGTTTGTGTTCTAACTTAGGACACGTTGGGTGACATAAACATTAGACTAAGGAGGCCTCCTGAATCTGGGAAACTGATTTTTTGGATAACATCTGGCAATACAAACAGCCTTTAAGGACTAGTGTCTTTCGGGACTTCCTTGGTGGGAAGAATCCGCCTGCCAATGCAAGGGATACGGGTTCGAGCCCTGGTCCGGGAAGATCCCACATGCCGCGGAGCAACTAAGCCCATGCACCACAACTACTGTGCCTGCGCTTTAGAGCCCGCCAGCCATAACTACTGAGCCCACGTGCCACTATTACTGAAGCCCACGCACCTAGAGCCCATGCTCTGCAGCAAGAGAAGCCACTGCAATGGGAAGCCCGCGCACCGCAACCAAGAGTAGCCCCTGCTCGACGCAACTAGAGAAATCCCATGCACAGCAACAAAGACCCAACGCAACCAAAAATAAATAAATTAATTAATTTAAAAATACTGAAAAAAAAGGACTAGTGATTTTCTAATATTGACTTTTCACACTTTGACTTAGACATTTGTTTTTAAGAGAGAGTTCAGTTGCCATTGAATTGCTGAAAAAAAAATCCAACAATCTTTGCTACATGATTTTTAATTACCTGATTAAGTTTGTCAGTACTCTGAACAAAATGAGCAAATATATGACATGAGTCAAAAAGCAGGGAATGAATTGAAATCAAGTGATGGCATATTAGTGAGTAATCTATTTTAAAAGAATCATGTCTGGAATGAATAGGAAGAGGTAAAGAACAATTCCAAAATAGATTTAAAAGATTTACTCTTCTTTCACATGAAGTGATAAATTTGAATAAAATACTTAAATATTCACATAAGAAGATAAGAATTTCAGTCTTGAAATAATCCTGATATCAAAGCAGAAATTCAATGGAATTAAATAGATTTTCATAATAGGAAATTTTTAGCATCATGTGGAAAAGATTTGGGAAATATGCCCTTATTTTGCATAAGTGAAAAGAGAAATTGCTGTTTTAACAAGTTAACATAAAAATAAAGCTGGTTCTAATATCCTACTTTGAAGGTTGTTTATAAATGTCCCTCTGAGGAAAATCTCAAATGCCACTGTTCCTTCAGAAATACCATCAGTGAACATTTTTTTACCTTGAGTAAAGAAAAATGTTGAGGTTCTTAAAGACAAGGAAATATTACCTGCAGTAAGTACCTCTATTGATTTTAAAAACAATTAAGTTGTAGTGTGTTCTCCAATTCTGCGAAGCATGATATAAAAGAGCATTATAGTTTAGTTTTCAATTCATCATCATTCAAAACTTTGGAATTTTGGTCCGTCTCTTTGCCCTCATTTTCCTTCCCTGTAAACTTGGCCTCAAGCATAGTTTCTGAAGAGGCATTTTCCTCTGGCAGACGATACTTCCTCAAAATAATGAGGATTAAAAAGGCTGGAATATAGCTTGATCCTCTTAGCACTGCTGGCAATCCAAGGTAGATGTATCTATCAAAAAAAGTTAAAACATATTAAAACTTATAAAGATAGTTTTGCATATTGTTAATTATTAATATTTTACTCTCATAAGGAGAGCAGCAGCTAATTGTTTTGCACGTCAACCTAATGAATTAACCTCATGAACTCACTTATGAATTCTAATTTTGTTAAAATGAGTTTTGGGATTTTTTTATCCAGACGATCGAAATTTATTTCCCTCTTTGCTAATCTTCTGTTACTGTTTTTATTTTATCTTTTTACATTGAATAGACTCCTCAACTTAAATTTAATACTGACAGGGATAGCAGTTTTATTTCAATATTTAATAAGAATGCTTCCAAAAATCACCACTAATTATAATATTTACTCCTGTGTTTTCTTAGATGATCTTAATCAGGTTAAGGAAGTTTCTTTCTCCTCTTTTGAGTTTGCTCAGAGTTTTAGTTGTGAATTTGTAAAATATCACTAAATCATTTTTCTGTACGTAATTAGCAGAATATCCAAGATTATTATTATAATTCTATAACAAACTCTATTTGTTAGTTTTTATATCTTTTTGGATTCAATTTGATAATTTTTTGCATGTATATTTACAAGTAAAATCAGCTTATACTTTTTTCCTTATACTGAACTTGTCTAATGTCAATATCAAGGTTGCACTAGCTTCGTAAAATGAATTGGGAAATTTTCCCTCTTTTTCCGTTTCTAGGAATAACTTGTATAATGCAGGAATCATCAGTTCATTGAAGGTTTGTAATACTTGCCTTAAAAGCTTCTGGACTTGATGTCTTTGGAAGATGAGAATTTTTGACTGATTCAAATTTTTTAAATGGCTATGAAAATATTCATGTTTTCTATATATTTATAGTAAAATTTGATAATACATATTAATCTAGAAAACTATTTAACGTGTTTCCAAATTATTATGTATAAAATTCCTAAGTATCTGTACTTACAGTTCCTTTTTAGTTCCTAATAGTGTTTATTTATGCCTCTTCTCTTTCTTTATTTGCCTTTCCAGATTATTGTTATTATTATATTTCAATCTTTTAGAAAACACAGCTTTTTTGGGGTTACCTCTATGGTGTGTAGTCTATTTATTAACTTCTGCTTCTTATATTCATGTTCTACTTCTAAAATTTTCTTTTATTAGGAAACATTTCAAGAATTCAGGAAAAAAAGAGTTAAGCATATTTGTACTCACCATCCAGGTTTTTTAAATGATTAAATTTTGCCATTTTTGTTTCAGACCAGGTTAAAAGAAAATATTTAATTCCTGTGATCCTACTACATTCTAACCCATCCCAGGTGTAACACTATGTTGAATTTTATGGATTTTGTTCCTAGTTTATTTTTATAGCTTTACAAAGTATGCATGTATCCATTCGTAATTTATACAATTATTGTATATATTTTTACATTTTAAATAATTGGCATAATACTATATTTTTATTTTGGAAGTTTTTCTATCAGCCCACCATTTTAAAACTAGGCTCATACATGTAGTTCTACATCATTTATTTTTAACTGTTGAACAACGCTGTGATGTATGAACATGAAAGCAACTCTTCTGCCCGTTTCCTGTTTATCCATTTCTGTCCCCCTCTAACTTTAAAACCCTAATTATAGGAATGAAATCACTAAACAATTGAAACTAACTCCTGACTTAACGCTTTCTTTAACGCACACCATGCTTTGCCTAGCCTGTTGATTCTTTTCCTAGTTAAAAAGAAGTAAGAGTGAAGAATTAAATAGATAAAGAATGGTTAGCTCTCTGCTCCCAACAGCTCGCTTAGCAATCCTGCAGGCAGATCATTCAGGCAAGATAACATCCGAAGATAGAGTCAGCCAGTCTGCACTGGGTGGGAATGATGCAGAACAATCTCCTGCCTCCATGATTCACTGAGATTCTTCCCACCCTCCCCCTCCCCCCAAACACTTTTTCCTTTAAAAACTGTCATGGCTAAGCAGAATCTTCGGAGTTGGTCTCTGGACACGAGTCCACCTTCTCCCCAGATTGGCAGCTTTTCTGACTAAAGCACCTTTCTTTTCTACTGACACTGCCTCTCAGTGTATTGGCTTTTGAGTGGCTAGCAGCCGAACCTGAGTTCGGTAGCAAACACACCACGGCTTATTATCCATTTTCCTGTGGGACGCTTTTGTTCAAAATTTTTTAAATATCAACAAAACTGCAACAAACCTTTGTTGCCATGTCTCCTTGTGCATGTGAGCAAGAGTTTCTCTAAACTATGTGTAAGCATCTTAGAGGATGCAGCTTAGTAAATATTGCCCAAAGGTTCTTTTCAATAGTTTTTATTCACCGCCAGCAGTGTATGAGAGTTCCAGATGCTTCCAGTTTGTGTTCTATCATTCTTCACTGTCTATGGTGTTTTCTGTTGCAAACATTTTTAAAAATTTTATATGTAGTCACATTTGATAATTTCTTGCTCTCTGGTTTGTGTTTTTGTTTCAACCCAAACCCAGCGCAATAAGGACCATAAAGATATTAGGATCCATGGTTGTTGATGACCTATCTGCTATTGGTCTAATTGTTATTTCTTTATAAGCCACATGTTTATTTCTCTGGGTAGTGTTTATGTTTTTTCTTTATCTTGAGCATTTGTAATTTCACTGTGATATGTCTATTTAATTTATTCCATTAGGCATTTGAAGTGCACTTTTGATCTGAAAATGTATGACTCTGTTAAATTCTAACGAATTCTAAGCCATTAGTTCTTTAATTTATCTCTGCCATTTCCTCTATTCTCTGTTCTAGAAAATTTCTGAGATATATCCTTTAATTGCTAATTGGTCTTTAACATTACTTATGTAGTTCATTTTTGTTGAATCAGTTCAAATCATTGATTTACATTCTAGATAAATTCTTCTGTACTCTCTTCCATTTCACCAATTCTTATCTTATGTTGACTTGAAATTTATTATGTATTTAGGATTCTTTTTATTTCACTGCTATCCATTTAATCTCTAATATTTCCAAGAGTTCTTTTTGATATTCTTATTTCTGCTAGAATTTTTTCATAATTTCTTATTCATTTTTTAATGGGTATTATGCCATCAATTTATTATTTTTAAACCTATCGAGCTGGTTAAACATACTTATTTTAAAGTCTTTGTCAGATTCTTATATTAGATTAAATTTAATCTGGAATCAATCATGTTTCAATTGGTAGTTTATGTGCTTGTCTTTCTTACTGTTGGATTTATTCATGTATTTTAACATTTCAGTTTACAAGCTCTTCTTGAGTATTTTGTTGTTGTTCTTTGATTATTTTGGTTTTCTTTGCTGTTCTATTTCTCTGTATTTACTCCTCCAAATTTGATCATTCTCCCTTTGCTTTTCCCTGTCCCCCAGGTTCTTAGGCCTTTCCTAGTTCTTTTCATAGTGATACTGGGAATAATCACAGAGGGAGTAGATCACTCGGTCTAGTTCTTGGATGTATCTGTATCTTATTCCCTCCTTAGAATCACAGCAATAACGTGCAAAAGGGTTTCTTTTTAAATCTCTTTTACAATGAGGTTTGCATTATTTTCCCATGGTTGCTGTTAGTTGGGTTAAAAAAAATCACGATAGGGCTTCTCTGGTGGCGCAGTGGTTGAGAGTCCACCTGCCGATGCAGGGGACACGGGTTCGTGCCCTGGTCCAGGAAGATCCCACATGCCGCGGAGTGGCTGGGCCTGTGAGCCATGGCCGCTGAGCCTGCACGTCGGGAGCCTGTGCTCCACAACGGGAGAGGCCACAACAGTGAGAGGCCCGCGTACCGCAAATAAAAAAAAAAAAAAAAATCACGATATATCTACCAATAGATAATTTTTGCGCAATTGGATGGTTCAATCTTCTATATTCTCACTAATTTTTCATCTGTATTTTATATTCACTTGTAGAAGTGTGTTGAAATTTTCCTAATTGTAGATTTCTTCTTGTAATTTTGTGAATTTTTGTTTTATATATTTGAGTTTATGTTGACAGATTTATATGGATTCATGATTGTTATATATTTTTGGTGAAGTGCTTTTTTTATTATTAAGTAATATCCTTCTTTAATTCTATTAATTCTTTTCACTTTAAATTCTACTTTGTCTTACAGTCATTAATATAACCACAGAAGCTTGATTTAATATTTGTCTGGTATACATTTTCTGACCTTTATCTTCAACCTTTCTTTGCATTATATTTTTAGGCTCTCTCTTGTAAACAACATGTAGCTGGAATTTGGAAAATTTCAATATGAAAGGCATTATCTTTTAAGAAGCGAGTTCAATTGGTTTACACTTATTGTGAAACCTGGTATATTTAGGCTTTATTTTCAATTATTTTGTGTGTTTTTATTTTCCTATGCCTTACTTCCATCAAATTTTCCTTAATCCTTTCCCCACTTTTCATTAGATGGTAATAAATGTAAGTAATCATCCTTACATTTTTGGCCAATTTTTAAGTTAATCAGTATTTTGTTCTCAAGAATTGTAAAAGAGTCCTAGATCTTACCTGGATTTTAAGCTAACAAGTTAGCCTGCCATAGCTGCATGGAAACTGGCAGAAGATACAAGCCTCCTTGGTCAGAGACAAAGGACTTTTTTACAGCAATCAGCACAAGCTTCATGTTCAGGTTAGTTTTCACCCCCCAAGTCCCGAAGTGGGGACACAGGAGACCCAGGTGGATGTTGTGCACACACTGCGTTCAGGTCACAGCTAAGCAATCCTGAGTTTAGGAAATCCCTATCATTTAAATGGGTTGCAAGCAAATCTGCCAACATTTGCCCCAGAGGGGGATGTTACCTTTATCATCCTGGACAGAAAACTCTGCTCCAGAGGAAAAGACCATTTTTATCTTCCAAGGTCACTTACTGTTCAAACATCTTTGAAAAGATAGTTCAGAACAAAAGCTTCTGCTGACAAGATATGCCAAAATTCAAGGAACCCATGAAGAATTGTCCATCAACATGTAACTCTTGTTTCTACATTGTATTAGTTTCTGATGAATTTTCTCATGAGTACACTTCACTGGTCACTCTAATTCACCTGACTGACAGAGGATGGTACCAAATATAATAATTTTGTCTGAAATATCATTTAATCAAAGCTACTATAAACAGGAATCAAAGCAGCAGGATGAGGCCAACCTACACTAGGGATCCTTGGCTTTCCTCAATTGTGATGCAAACCCATTGCATGCACAGTATGTATCTGTGCCCACCTCCATATTACCCCTGTGGAACTTTAGGGGAAAGGGGAACTGATGAAAACATGAATCACATTCTGTCTGCTCTCTTCACAGTTCTTGACATATATCCTTTTACTGATCAAGAGAAGACCTTAGACTATTTTAAATAATGCTAAATCATTTTTAGAAAATGAGTTTTCTTACTGCCCCATAAGGAGAAATTAATATAAATTTAAACAAAATCCAGGTCTCTAAATGGAAAAGAATGTGAACATAAAAAGAGAAAAATGGAAGAGTTTTGTTAAAAAACAGGTTAATATTATCATATGAGGTTTGTTCAAAATCAGGTCTGTTATTAAAAAAAAAATAAAGCTTTAAGAGACATGAAGAATATTGTGCCAGTGAAATTTAATAAGGGAGAAAAAATACCATTTTAGAGATCAGAAGTGGATAGTGAAAGGAAGTAAGGATTTAACCTAGTAAGATGTTGAAATGATGTAGGATTAAATGGGGATACTTGAGAGTAATATAATTTAGATAGGTAGCTTTTGTACAGCCATGACCTTCAACAATATATTGATTGCAACCAATTTAAGGAACAAGCTTTTGAAAGCCACCCATGCTTATATTTATCAAGTACTTTGAAAATATTGAGGAAATAAAATTCTAGTATATAAATAAGAATTGGAGATACAGTACCACTATCTATTCTGGAAACAAAGGCAAAAGTAATCTAGTCCCTTGACAAAGAAAATGTTAGATATGAATGGTACCGTTTTACACACTGCCTATGCTTAGAAAGCAATTTAAAAAATTATCTTTACCTGAAGTTGGTGGAATCATATATCCTACATGCCCCTGACTCACCACATTTCAAAGTACCCCAGTGTAAACATGTGGAGTCCACTAAAGCTCCAAAATATATAGGTGCGGGAATTCCAGCTACAATTAAAAGGGAGAAAGAAGAATCCATTAGCAAGGGAAGAAGATATATTTTGTTTGGAAACATTTTAACTTTATTCGTAGAACAAATAAAGTTTAACAAAATATACATGTATTGCTTTAAATTTTACTTTTAGAAACTGGAAGTTACTGTTACTGTAAAGTTTTTAGATTATAAAAAATAAGTAATCGGAAGGATAAATGCAAAATAAAAATCATCAGTAGAGAAAAACACTGAATTAATGATTCTTTACATTTTTTTTCTGCAATGTTTTGGGCCAATCACATGCACATTATACTTTAACAAAGCATTTCCTGTTCCTTTGCTTTTCAAATTGCATTGATGAAAAGTAGAATTAAGGTCAGATAGGTCTTTTTCAAATAAAAAAGAGAAGTTCTCTATTTCTTTTTGTTCTTCATTCTCACACTAATTACAAAGTGCTGTTTACAAGCAGAAGGGATATTTGCTAGACTGTTACTCTGAGGGAGTGATTTCATCTACTTAGTATTTAATAGTGGTCTGATGTGATGTTGGGAAAAATAACTATTTTTACCTAATACCCTTGTGCAAAATGCATGTAATCCCACACCAAGAGACTTCTCTTCAGGCTTGATACACCTAAAAAATAAATGAATTCATAAATTTAAAAAGTAGACATTTAAAATCTACCACAGTTTCTTAAAAGAACTCTTTGTGTGCTAGTAACACACTGAGCCTTAGAAAATTTTCCTGCCTGCTCAGGTCTTAGTTATTCAAGGCCTGATTATCCAGTTCATAACCTTCACAGGAGCCCCACCTCTGGTCCTTGGCATTTTATCCATCACTTTTTGCTCATTCATTTCTATCATAAAGTTATCAAGGAAGAAAATGTTTCATATCAGTTGATTTCTACCCCAGTATCCTCTTCTTGAATAGTATTTCTTGATTCTGACGGTTAAAACTTTAGCCTAAAACAAGAACAGTACAACCCTAGGTGTATTTAAATTATTTCTATTAACAAAATACAGAAAAGCCAAGAATTTAAAAAAATAAATGTAAGGAGAAAAGAAAGCCAGAATAAAAATTTTCAAAGGAAAGTGATGAAAAAAATCCAAAGCAAACATATTTTAAGTGACTTGGTATCTTTTCAAGAGTGGCATAGATTCCTCCATTCTCTCCAGAAATTCCCTGATGTTTTCACTGTTGCCTGAAATTCCTATGAGTAGAAATGAAGACTATAATTCCCCAATGGCACTTTTTGTGCTCCACTCACTTCATCAGCAGCATGGCTACCTGCTCCAAGAATTCACTTGGAGAGTTCCTCTGTATTCCCTTCCCTTCTTTGATTAACTCAAAGCTGAGAAAATGAAAGCAGCTTTCTTCACAAAAGGACGTAGTACATTTTTAGCAAAAACATCATATTATTGGCATTTTCTTGGCATAAGTATTTTACCAATTCAAATAACTCTTCAGCGTCATAGACTGAAATACAGTTGATCTGGTCATTATCTATCTAACACGTAGGTTATTTAGACAGCATCAAGGATTTTACTGAGAAGGAAGTAAGAAAAGCCAGGAGACCTAGCATGACCCTCTTGCTCCCACAGTTACCATTTAATACAGAAAATAGGGCATTTAAATTTCACTGAAGAATTTTTCTTTCTCCTCTATTTCTAATATACCACCTTATGATCTCACAAAAGTATGAAATCCTTATAGCTAAGAAATTGTAAACAGTTTAAACTGTTCTCCAAATGCTGTCACTATTTGACATTGATAACAACATTAATTCTAGAATCCAGAAATAAGAAAGAAAAATTAAAATTCAAATTATGGGAAAATGCTGAGAGAAATTAAAATAGTTCTTAAAAACTGGCAGAGTAGCATAGATGTTGCATCCCTCTACCATCATGGTAGGAGATCCAGGAAGATTCCACAAAAATAGAGAAAAGGATAAGTATATCCCTAAAAATTCAGGTGTTAAATCCAACAATGTGATCTTGGCAAGAGCTGGAGGAAGAGAGTAAAGATATGAAGAGATATGAGAGCATGATTAAGTATTCATCTTAATAGAAAGTAGATATTATTACTGAAAAGTTTTGAAATTGATAAGTAAAACAGAAATGTAGCTAAGAATTTCAATAATCAGGCTAGCCATTGGAAAGATTTGACTTTTAAAGCAGCAGAAGAAAATCCAATAAATACAATGGAAAGCAAAAACAGAAGCAAAAAGTCAAATAAATAGAATATATGAAATAAAGTGGCAAAAGAGCCCTATCACATTAATTACAATAAATCTAAGTGGGTTAAACTCACCAATCTGAAATTACAAAATCCGATCTAGCATATTGTCTATAAAGTGACATAGAAGATTGAAGATTGAAAAGAAAGGGAAGGAAAAAGGTGTAACAGGAAGCAGTGAACCAAAAGAAAGCCAGTACTGCAATTTTAATAAGAGACAAAATAGAATTGCCTGAAAGAAATGACTAAAAGATAAAGAAGAAAATTAAGTGCTGCTAATAATAGAAGTATAATGATAAAGACACATTTACATCCTACAATATAGCCTCCAAATATATAAATTAAAAAACTGACAGAATTATAGGAAGAAGTACATCAGCAATTTTAAAAGATTTTAACATCCATCCTCAAAAAACTGTTGAATTAAGCAGACCAAAAACAAGCATAGATCTACAAAATTTAGATAACACAGTGATTAACTTCAATCCAAGAAATATGGAAACTGTATATCCAAAATACAGAAGTTACACTTTCTTTTCAGAAACACATGAAACACTCAAAAATTGAACATGCATTATGCCCCAAAGAAAGCCTCAATATTTCCCCCCAAACCCCACATCTGTCAGATTATATTCTCTGAACGTGAAAATGAAATAACAATAATAAAGGATACCTATAGAAATTTCTCATAGATATGGAAATTATATAACACATAAATAAATTTTTGTGTGGTGGAGCAAACATAAAAGATATTACAAAAGAGTTGGAAGTAAGCTTCATGGAAAATACTAGTTCAGATATAACTAAAGCAATACTTGCAAGGAAATGTATGATTTTATTTACATTAATCAAAATGAGCAAATTATCTAAGTGTTAAACTCAAATAGTTGAATAAAGAAAAACAGAGCAAGCCCAAAAGGAAAAAATTTTTTAAATAAATAAAATAAAGAGCAGAAATAGATGAAATAAAGATTATCAAAGCCAAAAACTGGTTCTTTAAAAAAGAAATATATATATATATATATTCTCTGATATATATATATATATATCAGAGAATATCAGAATGATAAAAGAATATTATAAACACCATACACTAACAAGTATACAACTGGTATAAGCAGATATGGAAAATGTGAATAGACACTAACATTAAATAAATGAAAATAATAACCAAGTATCACTGACCAAATAAGCCCAAAGTACAAATAGTTTTACAGGTGAATTCATAAAACTTTCAACAAACAGATATTTAATGCAAGTTGTTCCAGAAGTTTAAAAATAGAAAATTTGTTAATTTATTTTGTGGGCCTAGAAAGATTCCAAAAATAACAAACAAAAAAGAATAGAAAATAAAAGGTACGTTTTACTTATCAACATAGATATAATAATTTTAAATAAATTATTATCTAAATCAAATCATATATAAAAATATATTGTGATTAAGTGTGGTTTTTCTTAGATATGCAAGCAGTTCAATGTAGAAAAAAACTATCACTTTTTTCCACTACACTAAAAGTACTGAGTTGGAAGATTATATGTAAATTTTTTCCTAGATGAAGAAAAATATATTGATAGTTGAATACTGATTCTATTATTAAAAACTCAGAAACTAGATGAAAACTCATACTAAAAATCTATAGCAAGCATCATATTTAATGGAAAAATTTTACATGGTTTCCATTAAAATTAGAAAAGAACAAGAATACTCACTATCACCAAATAGTTTAACACAGTTTTGGAGGTCCAACCTGATGCTGTAAGAAAATTTTTAAAACCTAAGATGTGTAAGGTTTGGAAGTGAAGAGATAAAACTCTCCATATGTGCACATATTTCTACATAGAAAACCTAACAAAATCAACAAGTTATTAGAAAAATAAGAAAAGTTGCTGGATAAAAAGTAAACTTTAAAAACTCAACAGCATTCCTCTAAACCAACAATAACCAACCAGAAAATATAAAAGAAAATAACACCATGTTAAATTACAAATAAGTACATGTCCATATATGTATGCTTGGATATATATGGGTACATATATATTTGCAATTGTACATGGTAACATTTTGTGTGTGTATATACATATTATATGTGTGTGTGTGTGTGTGTGTGTGTGTGTGTAGTATCTATAAAGGAAATTTTAAATAAATGAAAAAATATTCCATGTTCACAAATATTTGATGTCAGAGTTTCTCCAATTAATATATAGAATCCATACAATCAAATTCATATGTGAGTATAAAGATCCATGCATTGATAGCTAAATCAATTTAGGAAGAAAAGAATAAAGGAAGAGTGAAGGTGAAAGTGTTGGGTGGGTGAGGAAGAGCTACTGTATAAGACATGAACATATGCAATGTCACTGGTATGAGAACAAATAAACTGTGGAACAGAATAAGAATGAAAATGGCCCATGTTATATAAAAACTTTAAATACGATAAAGATGACACCACAAATCAATGGAATAAAGACCTCTCATTTGTGCTATGATGCTGGGAAAGCTACTTTATTTTCTGGAGAAAAATAACACTGAATATCTCTCTCTCTTGAGCCACACATAAAGATAGACTTGTGATGACTTAAAGAACTAGGTAAAGCTGTATAGCTGGTAGGATAAAATTTAGGGGAATACTTTTATAAATTAGGAATATGGGAACCCTTTTGAAATGTGACTCCCCAATACACAAACCCTAAGGCAAGAAAATTGTTAGATTTCACTACAACAAAATTTAGGATTTAATTTCATAAAAAATACTATGAAAAAATTCAAAGGAAAGATGAGAGACCAGGAAAAGATAATTGTAGCGAGTAAACAATATTACATTAATGTCTATAATTCACCAAGAAAAGTATAGGAATTATAATGAAAATGGGCAAAAATAATGAATAAGCATCTTGAGGCAGAAGCATTAATAGCTAGAAAAAAGTTTGAAGAAATTCTTAAACTCATTGAATTAGGAAATCACGTATTAAAACATCAGTGAGCTACCATTTTACACCCATTGGAAGAGTCAAAGTCAGAAAGTTCAATAATTCTAAGTGTTGGTGAGGCTATAAGGAAGTAGAAATTCCCATGCATTGATGGTACGAGAATAACTCATAAGTACTAGCAGTACTTGGTGAATTTATGTATCCATGTGCCTTTTGAACCAAAACAAATTTATGGCACAACACTATTTGTGTGAATATAAAACACAACACACAAAAAACTTAATATTTTACAAAGGAAAATACGTATTTAAGAACATATGTCTATCATATTAATATAGATGTTGGTGGTAATAGGAAGTGGGGAATGGAATGAAAAAAAATTAAAATAAAGTGAAATAAAACAAGAGGGAAACCTTACCTCACCTAGGATAAACTATGAACTGAGAATTATGATCAACTTAACTCTGCTTCAAGATGAAGAAAAGAGAAAACAATGCACTTTGCTTACTAGGCATGTTTAGAATTGTTTACAAGGCATGAAGCTGCTGTAATTGGAAAAATACATGTAATAAACCTAAGTCTGAATCCTAGCTCTGCAATTTCCTATTTTCAGTAAGCCCTTCAATGTTTGCGTCTCACAGTAGCCTTATAAGACAGTTGAGCATTCATTATATATCCATTTTTTAATTAAAGATAAAAGGAGCTCAGAAAGATCAATTGACCTGCCTTTTGCCCTGTGGGTAGTAATTGGTGAAACTGAGACTTCCTACAGCTTTAAACTCTGCTGTCCTATAGGTTGAACTATAAGAAATGACAGCTAGGCAACCACTCTGTACCTAGGAAAATGATCATTTCATATGGTTTACCCTAAAATATAAATGTGTCTCTTCTTGTGTTAAACAATGAGAGGTTCACTAATTTAACTCTAAGAAATAAGGTAGGAAAGATAGGGAGGGAAATACCAACAGATAAACATTTTTATTGCTAACTTTAAAATTTGGTAAAATTCAACAATGCTTAATGGGAAAATCTTAATAACTGGTATATATAGAGCACCAGGTTCTTAGATACTGTGGACTTAAGTGGCTTTCTTAGAAAAAGCTCCCTTACTAAATAACCAGAAATAAATCTAAATAAAGAAAATAATTCTTGTACCTCAGGAGAACCATATATCCAGGGATGGCAGATAAAGAATAGATGAAACTGCTGACCACCGACAAGATTAAAAAGTACTGGAGCATCATGGAACAGTCCTGTCCCTTGTCACATAGCCCAAGAACTGCAGATGAATTTCCTGGTGTTTGAATGCAGCTACAATTTTGGAACACCTGTCAAAAATAATATATTATCCTATTTAAGGAAGGAAAGTTTTGAATACAAATCTCAAATATTTTCTGCATGCCCAATTAGGTCAAGATAGACAGTTTATTCCCTTTGTTCTCATATCCTTTATTGTGTCTCAGGATTATCTCGTGAGACAAAACATAGAAGGTGGTTTCCGAAAAAGGGTATTTCTTTCTAAATTTGGGTACATTTGCAATAGCTCTGTTGCCTAAAAGTCATGCTTTCTAGAAACACATGCTGTTTTGCCACATGCTAAATATGACAAATAAAATTTGTTTCAGAATGCTCAGTTGAAATGTTTACTTACCAATAAACAAAGTTTTATTTCAAAATATATAGTTTATTTCACAAACAGAACAAAGTCAACCCTTTTTGAATTCTTATGTTCCCAGGTTTCAATAAGAATCAAAATTTGGAAGGTGGAGCTTCAAGATGGCAGAAGAGTAAGAAGTGGAGATCACCTTCCTCCCCATAAATACATCAGAAATATATCTACATGTGGAACAGCTCCTACAGAACACCTACTGAACGCTGGCAGAAGACCTCAGACCTCCCAAAAGGCAAGTAACTCCCCCACGTAGCTGGGTAGGGCAAAAGTAAAAACAGAGACAAAAGAATAGGGACGGGACCTGCACCAGTGGGAGGGAGCTGTGAAGGAGGAAAGGTTTCCTTCCGCACACTAGGAAGCCCCTTTGCGGGCGGAGACTGCGGGTGGCAGAGGGGGAAAGCTTCGGAGCCGCGAAGGAGAGCACAGCAACAGGGGTGCGGAGGGCAAAGCGGAGAGGTTCCGGCACAGAGGATCGGTGCCGACCAGCACTCACCAGCCCGAGAGGCTTGTCTGCTCACCCGCTGGGGTGGGCGGGGCTGGGAGCTGAGGCTCGGGCTGCAGAGGTCGGATCCCAGGGAGAGGCCTGGGGTTGGCCGTGTGAACACAGCCTGAAGGGGGTTAGTGCAACACGGCTAGCAGGGAGGGAGTCCGGGAAAAGTCTGGAGCTTCTGAAGAGACAAGAGACTTTTTCTTCGCTTTGTTTCCTGGTGCGCGAGGAGAGGGGATTAAGAGCGCTGCTTAAAGGAGCTCCAGAGACGGGCGCGAGCCGCAGCTAAAAGCACGGACCCCAGAGACGGGCATGAGACGCTAAGGCTGCTGCTGCCGCCACCAAGAAGCCTGTGTGCAAGCACAGGTCACTCTCCATACCTCCCCTCCTGAAAGCCTATGCAGCCCGCCACTGCCAGGGTCCCGGGATCCAGGGACAACTCCCCCAGGAGAATGCACGGCGCGCCTCAGGCTGGTGCAACGTCATGCTGGCCTCTGCCGCCGCAGGCTCAACCCACACTCCGTACCCCTCCCTCCCCCGGCCTGAATGAGCCAGAGCCCCCGAAGCAGCTGCTCCTTTAACCCCGTCCTGTCTGAGCGAAGAACAGACGCCCTCAGGCAACCTACACGCAAAGGCGGGGCCAAATCCGAAGCTGAGCCCCTGAGCTGTGCGAACAAAGAAGAGAAAGGGAAATCTCTCCCAGCAGCCTCAGATGCAGCGGATTAAAGCGCCACAATCAACTTGATGTACCTGCCTCTGTGGAATACATGAATAGACAATGAATCATCCCAAAATTGAGGAGGTGGACCTTGGGAGCAACTATATATATATATATATATA